ATATATATATATACATTATATATATATATATATATATATATATATACATTATATATATATATATATATATTATATATATATATATATATATATATATATATATATATATATATATATATATATATTATATATATATATATATATTATAATATATATATTATATATATATATATATATATATATATATATATATATATATATAATATATATATTAATATATATATATATATATATATATATATATAATATATATATATATAGTTGTTTTGAATGTTCCAAATCAGATTTATGAAGTCATCCAATGTTTGGCATCAAGTGTTCTCACGTTCTGACCATAAAGAATAGTTTAACCACAATTAACCATCTGGTTACTTCAACTTTCACTCAAGAGCAAAAATCAGCCTTTAAACTAAAAAGAAATAATGATTTGAGATTTATTGTAATAATTATCAAATGGTATGAAATGTTTTTTTCATGACAACATTTCTGGCCATATCGCCCTGCCCTACAACAACTACACACATACAGGTGCTGGTCATATAATTTGAATATAATCAAAAGTTGATTTATTACAGTAATTCCATTCAAAAAGTGAAACTTGTATAATGTATACATTCATTCCACACAGACTGATATATTTCAAGGCTTTATTCCTTTTAATTTTGATGATTATAACTGACAACTAATGAAAACCCCTAAATCAGTATCTCAGAAAATTTTAATATTGTGAAAAGGTTCAATATTTGAAGACACCTGGTGCCACACTCTAATCACCTAATTAACTCAAAACACCTGAAAAGGCCTTTAAATGGTCTCTCAGTCTACACAATCATGGGGAAGACTGCTGACTTGACAGCTGTCCAAAAGCTGACCATTGACACCTTGCACAAGGAGGGCAAGACACAAAAGGTCATTGCTAAAGAGGCTGGCTGTTCACAGAGCTCTGTGTCCAAGCACATTAATAGAGAGGCGAAGGGAAGGAAAAGATGTGGCAGGAAAAAAAGTGTACAAGCAATAGGGATAACTGCACCCTGGAGAGGATTATGAAACAAAACCCATTCAAAAACGTGGAGGAGATTCACAAAGAGTGGACTGCAGCTGGAGTCAGTGCTTCAAGAACCACCACGCACAGACGTATGCAAGACATGAGTTTCAGCTGTCACATTCCTTGTGTCAGCCACTCTTGAACAAGCCACAGCGTCAGAAGCGTCTCGCCTGTGCTAAAGACAAAAAGGACTGGACTGCTGCTGAGTGGTCCAAAGTTATGTTCTCTGATGAAAGTAAATTTTGCATTTCCTTTGGAAATCAAGGTCCCAGAGTCTGGAGGAAGAGAGGAGAGGCACAGAATCCACGTTGCTTGAAGTCCAGTGTAAAGTTTCCACAGTCAGTGATGGTTTGGGGTGCCATGTCATCTGCTGGTGTTGGTCCACTGTGTTTTCTTGGTTGGACTTGGACTTGGTTTTTACCCTGGGTGTCAGCATTTCCTCTGTGGAATTAGTGGACATGACTATATCTGACCACAGATGTATTGTTTTTAGCTGCGATTCGCCTGTTACTCATGCCGCCTCACCAAGCTCCGTGTGTTGTCGCATCTTTAATGAACAAAGTGTTTCAAAGTTTTGCGCATTCTTTCAGAGCCAAAGCCAACACCTGTCTGATTCCAACACCAACAATCTGGTCGATCACTTCAATCATATCTGCTTGTCGTCACTCAATATTACTGCTCCTCTAAAGGTTAGGCCTACGTCTAAAGCTAGTAAGCAACCCTGGATAAATGACAGCATTCGCAGCCTCAAAAGGGAATGCAGGAAAGCAGAGCGCAGATGGAAAAAATCCAGTCTCCAAGTCCATTACCTCAGTCTGAAGGATTTATTAATTAACTACAATAAAATGGTTAAGGATGCGAGAACACACTATTTTTCTGAACTCATTACTACACATAAACACAATCCCAGGTTTCTGTTTAAGACTGTGGATCAGCTGGTAAACCCAACCCCTCCTTGTGCCTCAGCTGGAAGTAATGATGACTGTGAATAGTTTTTCTTATTTTACCAATAAGGTGGTGTCAATCAGAGCCTCTATTACCCCCGTGGCCTCTTACTCAGAGGTCCCTCACCAGCAACAACAGAGTTTTAACCAGTTTTATCCCATCGACTTGTCTGAGCTTTTAAAAACAGTATCACAAATGAGAGTGTCCTCCGGCCCACTTGATATAATACCTACAAAATTTTTTACTGAAAGTAATAGATTCTGTCGGGCCCCATTTGATCTCTGTTTTCAACAGCTCCCTATCTACTGGTTGTGTCCCTGATTATTTCAAAACGGCTTGCGTGAACCCACTTTTAAAGAAACCTGGTTTAGATCCCTCCCTCCCACATAATTTTAGACCAATTTCAAAACTGCCTTTTATTGCAAAGATTCTAGAAAGAATTGTGTCCAAACAGCTGCTCACTGTGCTGGAAAATAACAAATTATTTGAAAAGTTTCAGTCTGGTTTTAGGAAGTACCACAGCACTGAGACTGCCCTGCTTAAAGTCACCAATGACCTTTTAATGTCTGCTGATGAAGGTATGTGCTCAGTCCTGGTACTCCTGGATCTTAGCGCTGCTTTTGACACCATTGATCACAACATCATGTTAGACAGACTGAGGCACTGGGTGGGGATCTCTGGTACTGCTCTAGAATGGTTTTCATCCTACCTGTCAAATAGGAAGTTTTGCTTGTCTGTAAACAACTATGTCTCTTCATTCTGTCCAGTTAAATATGGTGTGCCTCAGGGGTCGGTCTTAGGACCCATTTTGTTTTCCTTGTATCTGCTTCCCCTTGGACATATTATCCATAAACATGGCATTTCTTTTCATATTTATGCTGATGACACACAAATATACTTGCCCGTCAGATCCACATACCCTGGAATGCTGAGTTCACTTAACAACTGCCTTTGTGAAGTTAAAAAATGGATGTCAAATAATTTCCTCCAGCTGAACTCAGACAAAACAGAAATCCTGGTCATCGGGTCCCAGCAGATGGCAAATCAAATACTGCCATCTGCTGGTTCCCTAGTAAATCACATTAAGCCTGTGGCAAAGAACCTTGGTGTTTGGTTTGATAGTAATTTAAATTTCGAGCAGCACACCACAAAGCTTGTTCAATCATGTTTTTATCAACTTAGAAATATAGCTAAAATTCGATCTATGTTAACTTTTAAGGACACCGAGACCATTTTACACGCCTTCATCTCATCACGCCTGGATTATTGCAACAGCCTTTTCACCTGTTTAACCCAAAAATCTATTGATCGACTCCAGACTGTCCAGAACTCAGCTGCCAGGCTTTTAACCAGAACAAAGAAATATGACCACATTACTCCTATTTTAGCTTCATTACACTGGCTCCCAGTATGTTTTAGAATTGACTTTAAAATTCTATTGATCACTTTTAAAGCTCTTCATGGCCTCTCGCCTTGTTATATTTCTGACCTTTTAGTCCCATACGCACCAGCACGTACCTTGAGATCCTCGGGCAGAGGTCTGTTGTCTGTTCCAGAGTCTCGACTGAAAACTAAAGGGGACAGAGCGTTTTCTGTCAGGGCCCCGAGGCTCTGGAACAGCCTGCCCGAGGAAATCAGGTCGGCTGAGTCGGTGAACTCGTTTAAGTCCCTTCTTAAAACATACTTTTATAGGAGAGCTTTCCGATCTTATTTGACTTTATTTTATCCCTTTTATTTTATTTTACTAATTTTATATTAAATTTTCATGCTCTTCTCTTTTTTGTATTATTCTTTACACTTGTTAAAGCACTTTGTAACTTGTTTTTGAAAAGTGCTCTACAAATAAGGATTATTATTATTATTTTCTGAGGTCCAAGGTCATCGCAGCCGTCTACCAGGAAGTTTTAGAGTACTTCATGCTTCCTGCTGCTGACCAACTTTATGGAGATGCAGATTTCAATTTCCAACAGGACTTGGCACCTGCACACAGTGCCAAAGCTACCAGTACCTGGTTTAAGGACCATGGGATCCCTGTTCTTAATTGGCCAGCAAACTCGCCTGACCTTAACCCTATAGAAAATCTACGGGGTATTGTGAAGAGGAAGATGCGATACGCCAGACCCAACAATGCAGAAGAGCTGAAGGCCACTATCAGAGCAACCTGGGCTCTCATAACACCTGAGCAGTACCACAGACTGATGGACTCTATGCCACGCCGCATTGCTGCAGTAATTCAGGCAAAAGAAGCCCCAACTACGTATTGAGTGCTGTACATGCTCATACTTTTCAGTTGGCCAACATTTCTAAAAATCCTTTTTTGTATTGGTCTTAAGTAATATTCTAATTTTCCGAGATACTGAATTTGGGATTTTTTGGGAATAACACCTACGAAAACTCTAAGAAACGCTTAATGTAAATGTTTCTTAGAGAAGATTCTTAACCAGGATGGGCTTTAAAATGTCTGTGCCAAACACATTTTACCTTCTGATATTATGAACTTTCAGTGCAGTGCTGAGGAGCAAAGTCTAAGCTGTGCATAACACCCAATGATGTCATCGCTCCCTCCACAATCTGAGAAATCCAGTTATGGAAACAGGAAAACTATGAGAGCCCACAGCCTATAGCTTGTTGGAAAATAAGTTAACTATTAGAGTGAATACTATCAAATACCACTGTAAACAAACCTCAGTACAACTCTTCCTCCTCCAACGCACTAATCACATAGTCAACTTCCCCGTTCCTGTGTGTGGCGCTAACCTCTTTAGCTAAATGAGATTCCTGACATCTAGACTCCTGCAGTCACAGATAACCAAAAGGGAATACTGAACCAGACACTAGTGCCAGTGGCTGCCAGCCAGGCTGAAACAGATGACAGCAGAAGATGGGAAGCAAAGATCCGAATCTGCTACCCAATGAGTCTGAGCAGATGCTGTCAATATGGTGTGTTAATGGATAGACATTAGTATGCACGCGGTCACACTGCTCATACACAGCTTCTTTAGTGCACAAGGAGAATGCACAAAATTTATTCTGAGCCCCACAATAATAGGCAGATACTCACCACAGCAACAGCTTCGCTGCTCAGCACTTGGTCTGCATCCATGACGACGTAGTAAGCAACGTTGGTCAAGATGTAGATCACTGTGACAATGGGCATGGAAATAGCGATCGACAAGGGCAGATTCCTACAAAAGAAAAATGGTTTTCATTAACTTAACGCGCTCAGTTGAGCCTTAAGTATTTACAGAACAGAGCTGAGAAAAATAATTGTTAGCCACACCCCACCCCAACCTGCAAGCAGTACTAAAATATCTAGATTTTTACAAATGTTCAGTTTATTTTGTAACTGGGATGTATACCATTTCCACTGAGACGACAGCTTGAGATTACTTCATGTTACGTCAGAAAGCAAAGCCATTAGGAACAAAAATCCCTTCTTGTAAAATATTTCTCAAATACCAGACCTCATACCTCTCTGGGTTTTTAATCTCCTCCGTGATGAAGTTGAGTGTGTCCCAGCCAGAGTAGGAGTACAGTGCTGAATAGAGGGCCAGGGCCATGTCACCTGGGTTCAGCTTGGAGCCCTTGAATGAGTCCTCAAAGTTCTGGTCGAATCCTACATAAAACAGGTGTTAAAATGTTTTGCTTTCATCATCCAGGGCTAATTATTTTCAAAATATTGAATCCAGCATGTGCCTTAAATATTTTTAATTTCATATTTCAATAAATAGTGTGCCCTGCATAATATATACACATTACATGCCTGAACCAGTTTAGTAAAAGAAAAGAAAAGGACAAAAAACATCCACGCAATAATATATGTAGCAATAACAAGAGCACCAAACACAATCAAAAACATAACGTAACAAAATCTGAATTTAAAACAGTTATTCGTATATTCGATGTATAAAATGTATCAATATAATAATTAAACTATTTGATCAAGCTGGTCCAATATCAAAATTTTACCTGAAAAGCTGAGTCAAAAATGATTGATGAATGATTAAGGTGCTTTGACAAACTACCAAAATCCACCATTTCGCCATATTTACTAAAATCCCTTGAACTAAAACGTTAACTATTTACAGCATTCTGTTCAATGATTCAGTTAAAATGCCTTAATCCCAAATAGTTAAGTAGTGCTTCATCCCATTCATTTTCAGCAAAGTGAAGGCAGTGATTTCAGAATAACTATCTGACAGACAGACAGTTTCTAGGACACCCTACCTTGTGCCAGCTTAACCAGCCCAGTAATGATGATGACAATAAGAGCTAGGACCTTGGCCACAGTGGAGATGACCTGAAGAATAGCGCCCCATTTCACTTTCATACAGTTCACACAAGTCAGCAGACCTGATATGGAGAAAGAGCAAGAAAACAGTAGTTAACCAACATCAAATCAATAAAGTTTAAATCGAAGGTTGGACACAAGCAGAGGGGAGGAGTTTATGGTCGAACAACTGTATTGACATTGCTATTATGCTAGGGTTGGGCGGTATATCTGTATATGAGGTATACCGATATAATTTCAAAAGATAGATATTAGACAATATTAGACAAAGATATGAAATTAGACAATACCGTTTATACCGATATAATCTGATACTAATATTGTTTCTGTAAAGTCCTGCTAGCGTTTGCACGTCTCTCTACCTCACCGCGCAGCTCCGCCCCTCCCTCAGTGTCTGCACGCAGCAGTCAACTCACAAAGTCTCTAACAAGATGGAGGGAGACACAGAGCTGGTCGACACTGAGACCTGTCTTGTAAAAAGAAAAGCAACGCTTAAGTTAGTGTTTCCCACACATACACTTTACTTCGGCGGGCCGCCCAGGTTAGGCGATACATTGCAGTATTTATCACAGAAACACAGTGATTGCGTAAGTCGCAACACGGTGGATATTTTACAAGAGCGGACCAAGTAAAGCGACACACCTGTCAGATGTCATTCGTTAGCTACCATGTTGGTTTTGTTTTGATAGGCTACGTCGTCAACACGCCTCCTCAACGTGCAGCTCAGCTGCTGCTGTGAACGGAATCACGGGAGGAAAAGTCCAGAAGACAAGGTCTGATTTTTTTTGGTGACTTTATACAGCCTAGCCTACTACTGATGGAGAAAGTCACCGAAGCGGACATACAGGGAGAGCGAGACAGTAAAGCCCGTTTTTCCACGGTACCAGCTTGACTCGCCTCGTGTTTTTTTTGGTTGTCCATTTGGTTTTCCATTGTGTAAAAGTTGTACTTGTATCTGCTACCAGGTGCTATTTCTGGGTACTGTCTGCAATGAAAAACGGAGGATGGCCAAACTGAGTCGAGGCGAGCTGAGCTGGTACTGGTAATGGCTGTTTGCAGCAGAGGTACGTTAGGTCTGTGAGTGTGAAGAGAACTGAAGCAGTCAAATTCAATAAGTGAATGATACTTAAGATGGAGAATGAAGTATAATTAAAACGGTGAAATAAGCTAAGTTGAGCTCGCTTAGCAGAAAATACCGATATATATTTTATACCGGAATTCTGCCTAACAGCATGACTTTTTGGCTTTATCGCCCAGACCTATGTTATGCCCTTTATCACAGTATCACAACGCTTTAGGGTTTCCCTTTACTAAGCACAGTACACTTAAAGCAGAGCTGAGAGGAAATCATTACATTTTCTCATTTAGCTGACGCTTTTATCCAAAGCATTTATATTTGCTATATATGTCAGGCTAGGCTCTAGAGCAACTAAGGGTTAAGTGTCTTGCTCAGGGACACAATGGTGGATGTGTAACAGTAGGACTCAAATCCAGGTCTCTCACACAAAAGGCATGTGTCACACCACTTATGACTATCCCTTTCAGCTTTTATGAGAACATCTTGTACACTTCCTCAAAAATGTAACAGTCTGGATTAACAGGAGGTTAACTGTGTCTGATTTTATTTGAACCTTTGGTTTTTCGTGACAAATTAAAGCACAGACTGTACTGGACTTGTGTCAGCCAACAGTGCAATTAAGAATAAAGCAAACAGGCTGATTAAGACATTTACAGTAAATAATTGGGGTTTAAATAACCAAAACCAATCTATTTTGTTCTATGCTCTGGGAACATGCATTCAGTTTAAACTTAAAAAAATTGTAATAAATAATGTTAAAATAATTTTGTAATGCACCTTGTGTGTATTATTGTCAAGTACAGGGAGAGACTTACATATGATCACAGCAGCAATGAGGCGGACGGCGTCATAGGGGGCTATACAGGTGGGGTAGAAGGGCTGGACCAGGTAGTTAGAGAAGGTCAGGGCTATCACTGCCTGACAAGCTGGCTCGACTATCAACAACGACGTCCACAGTCTGCAGCAGAAATTGATGAATCTTAATTATTAGAATAAATGAATATAACAAAAAAAAAAAACTTGTAACTTTAGTAAAATAACAAATTAATAATAAGGCTTTATATACCTCTACAACTGGGAAATTAGCTTTTGCAATATGAATTTCAGTTCTACACATGCTTAAATAATAAATTCTCTGATGTTAGTGGACTGCCTCCACTAATGACACACAAAATTAATAATAATGACAATAATAAAAATTCCAGGCATCCTCTAAAATGCCCTGGGTGATGTGGAGCAGAGGTTCAGGTGAGGGGGGAGAGATACAGGCTGTCTGTCTGGGGCCTGAAATAAAAAAATGTTACAAATGACAGTCGATCAGTTTCTCTTGTCTCAGTGTTTCCAACAGGATTCTAAGAGAAAGGTAAATGCATTCATTTGGTGCAAAATTAAGAGGCTATCTATGAAGACCGTGGCACTCTTGTAAACAATGTTGTGCTCTAGTAAACTATTTGATCATTAAGCTATAAATGGTTATGAAACAGCAACAAAGGTCAACAAATTTCTTTTGTTTTTCCAGCAACCATAAATCAAAGAATAGAAAATAGAAGTAATTTCCCTAACATTTTATTATTATTGTTTGTTTTGTTTTTTCCTTTTAATGGACACATGTAATAGGTTTTGTATTTTCTGTGAATATAATCCAATTAATCTTATTTCCATACTGTATAGACACCTTAATTTGAAAACCGGACGTTGTCCCATGTGTATCCTCGCGCTAAATTCATCAAATCTGACCCCTTTTGATAAATCATGTTGCATGTGGTTCTTGTATCGTGTAACATGAAGACTTCACAGCCTCTCTTGAGGTAGGACTATCATATTGCAACACTTGCCTTTGTAAAGAGAAACTGACAGGATAAAGTCACTAACCTGCCTGTCAGCTCGCACCGGTCCGTTACTGTGCATTTACCATAAAGGCTTGAATACATGTGCACTCCAAATTTAGATGCTAGCTTAATTGCCTTCTCACAAACGAGTGACAGAAACAGATTAACGTTGTTAACGTTACCGTAGTTACCTCAAAAGAAAAGTGGTTGTCTGGAGTCGGATGCCAAAATGTGTGAGCATGCGAGCTTACAGCAGTGCCCACAAAACACGTTCGAGCCTATAATGTTATTAAGAGATGTGTATAAATATTTTTCAGTTCATTTTGAAACTATGGCGGAGCAAATTAGACTGTGGCGGGCCGCCATGGTCTCGTTAATTAATGGGAAACACTGCGGTAAAAGTCTATTTTCAGGATCACAGAACCAGTCTTCCTTCACAGAATGTCAAAAGAACCAGCGTGAATAAGAACCCTCATGTTACTTGAATGTGTAGAGACGATAAGTGGCAACAGTGCTGTTATCATAACATTACTTAATTGAAAGCTTGAGAAGCTGTTAGGATATGGCAGACTTTCTATACTGTACAGTATATGTGAGCTTTTGCATTATAAGTAAAGGAGGACATACTGCATGAACAGTGTCTATGCAAAAATTACGGTAACACATTCCAAGTAACAGCACATAGGTACGTATTGCTTTTCTGGGATAATGTGTTTAAACAATGTGTTTACATCCAGAAAGAGTAAAAAACAAACAAACACATACCGTATAAAAGCCAAGAAACCTCCAAAGGCCTCCAGGATGTAGGCATAGGAGGCTCCAGATTTATGGATGGTGGTACCCAGCTCAGCATAGCATAATGCTCCAAACACAGAAAAAATCCCTCCAATGGCCCACACTACCAGCGACAGGCCAAATGAACCCGTGTACTTAAGGACACCCTGCAGGGTAAGAAATGAGAGCATTTAGATTTGGTGGGGTTAAAAAAGAACTCTAGTGCAGAGGTTTTCAAAGTGGGAGGCGGACTTCCCGAGGCGAGCTCCAAACACTTTTATGAGAGGCTAAGTGAACAAAAATACATCATTAGTTATTACATTCATTATTAAAAGGAGGGAAAGAATAGCCTAAATGTGTGTGATCTGGTTAAAGAGATTTGGGGTAATTTTACAGTTCCACAGTGTCAGACATTGGAAAGCTTGAGTCTAGTGTATTTGTGTGTTTGTCTTAGTTTGTTTAGGGTGGTGTGAAAGCTGTCATTTGATCTCTGGTGTAGACCAAACAATGGCACCAAGACGATCTAACACAAAGACAATAAGACCATCTGAAAATATAGACGACTGCCCAACTCTAAACAGGAACACAATGGTAACATAAATCCTTAACAATTAGGGTTGGGCCAATAAGACGATGCCATCGTCCATCTGCAATGGCTGACAGACATGACAACGTTGAGCCGGCATCGTGATTGTAAACACCCCCCTCCCCCAGCATAAAAAAAAATCTAAAAAATTTTCACACCCTGTGAAAGCAGCTTTCAATGACTACAAACTTTCTTATTGTTTTTAAGTATGCTTTGCACCTGCCTCGGAATTCTCTTCTCTCTACACTCTGACACACTCACCTGCACCTCAGGCACCTGGCTTGCCCCGCCTCTCCCCCCATCTGCTCCATTATCTCAATCAGCAGTCGCCTAAAAGACTGAGAACTCGTCTTTTTTCTGTACATTTCTACCCGCGATCCGTTATCACGGCAGCTGGTGAACCGCTTGTGGGCTTGTTAATGACGCAGCCTATCAAACAACTGAGACCAACATCTGCACCCTGTGTGTTCACTGCTGCTTTACCTGCTCCTTGCATAAAATATCCACTGTGACTTGGAATGTAAGTTAATACTCTACAAAAATTTTTTACCGAGTGAAGTTTGTGCGAGAACACATGTATGCACATAAGACGACTGCGCATGTGCACGCCTGCGCACCCGATGACAGCGTCCATCCAGATGTCTCACTGCAGACATCCTCTTATGGAAATTTTGTAAACATCGCCCAACCCTATTAACAATACTCAATGAATAATTATTTCAGATGTATCTATCAGATACAGATCTCAGATGCATCAGCAGTGCACTGTTACCCCTGAACATGTCGCAAGTCGAGCTAACATAGCACTGAGCTTTGAAAAGTAAGATAAACTCAGGGCAAATAAATTCACTGGCCTAACAAAGCAGAGAATCTTACCTTAGGTGAGACAAAGATGCCAGAGCCTATCATATTTCCCACGATGAGACAGACCCCATGGAGGAGGGAAATCTCCTGCTTCAGCCGAACACCGCTGCCTTGAGAAACTGAATCCACCTCAGCAACCATTCTCCTTCAGCCTCAACTCAGAGGTAACAGGACGAAGTGACGGGGGAGTAATAAAGACGACAGACTGCAGCACCAGGAACTGAGCCAAGGTGACAGAATAGAACAAATAAATACTGGATAAAATGAAAAGAGGGGTGTGAACCAAGACAAGTGGAAAGCGACGTGGGAGTGTCACTGGAAGGCTAATAAGACTATGCCGGTCTCAAAGGGCATTGTTGAATTCTCCACTGGATTAATCTGTAAGAAAAACAAGGGAACACAGAGTCACATAAGTGCTCTTCACAGCAAGGAATTTTTGCTGAGATGAGAGTAAGTGATCCTGATTGTGGTCGTGTCATTGGAATATAACCCTGTGTTGCATAATGGACACTTGGGGGCCAATGGAAACTTCAAATGAGTGAATGAATGAGTAAGTGACTTAAATGTATTTAATAATAAATCATCAGCGAGTTCAACATCGGCTGTCTTTGAATGAAACAGTGCTCCAGTAAGAGACAAACACTTATTTTCCCCCACATTGAGGCGGGATTAACTGAAAGAAAGCCTAATAGTTTACACTATAAATGTGCAACTAAATATGTTCATTACTGCCAATCATCAGGGCACAGTAGGCAAAGCAAATATTTTTAATTTTTTCTTAACAATCATAAACCATTTTTAATTAAAAAAAAATATTGCTTTTGTAATCTTAGGCTTCTGGACAGCTTCTATACGTCTGCAAGAGTTTGTGGGTCAGAGCCACAGGTCAGCCGGCTGAGTTTTTCTAGCCATTTTCATGGGTTTGACAGCGCCATCAGATTGCATTGTGCGGTACAGTTTCAGGTGGTCGTAGAAGTTGATGCCATTCTCCGACGTGTCAACACACACAGATCACCTCAGGTCCAGGACAGGAATTTTGTTGTATAGACCGGTGCTTGTAATAACTTATCTAAAACAACGGAAACCTCAGAGGTATAGCAACATGTCTGGATGGTTACTATGATAGTGAAAGGTGTTTACCGCACAGCAGGTTTCCTATTTCAATATACTACATTGACATTCAAAACATTTTCCATGGCCGAGTTGGTACGTGCCTGGCTCGAACGTCAAAGAGAGTTGAGCTATTTCACATACAACCGTGCCTGACTAAACTTCAGGTTGAAAGGAGCTCTCTTTTACAACCAGATAGACCAGAGGTCCTGGAAACGACGCAAATCATTTCTTAAACTTTCACTGATTAGGGCTCCACAATTCTGTCATGTAAATTTGAATCGATACTACAGGCTACTGAAACTGTGTTTGGAGTGTGTGCTCCGGTGTATTAAAGATATCTTATATAATAATTTGAACAACTTCAAAATCATTAATTTGTAATCAGTGAAGAAGAATGGCATCTTTGTCACTATGGGACCGGATCACCTGGTATTGCACTATGAAGCACTGCCCCATTTCTTCTAGAGTACTTTGATTGTGAAATTATCAAATACCATCCAACAGTTTGTTGAGTGTTGGATGAGGACTTCGTTGATGGGTGCTGACAGATCTGCAGATAACCATAAGCAGATGCACTCATGTTTCAGAGACGTCTGAGCTTAAAATGCTACTGTGTTCTCTTTTCTCCCCTTCTCTCTCTCACTCAATCTCGCACTTTTCAAAAACAAGTTACAAAGTGCTTTAACAAGTGTAAAGAATAATACAAAAAAAAAGATAAGAGCATGAAAATTCAATATAAAATTAGTAAAATACAATAAAATAAAAGGGATAAAATAAAGTCAAATAAGATCGGGAAAAGCTCTCCTATAAAAGTATGTTTTAAGAAGGGACTTAGAGTCCATCAGCTCAGGTGTTATGAGAGCCCAGGTTGCTCTGATAGTGGCCTTCAGCTCTTCTGCATTGTTGGGTCTGGCGTATCGCATCTTCCTCTTCACAATACCCCATAGATTTTCTATAGGGTTAAGGTCAGGCGAGTTTGCTGGCCAATTAAGAACAGGGATCCCATGGTCCTTAAACCAGGTACTGGTAGCTTTGGCACTGTGTGCAGGTGCCAAGTCCTGTTGGAAAATGAAATCTGCATCTCCATAAAGTTGGTCAGCAGCAGGAAGCATGAAGTGCTCTAAAACTTCCTGGTAGACGGCTGCGATGACCTTGGACCTCAGAAAATAATAATAATAATAATAATAATAATAATCCTTATTTGTAGAGCACTTTTCAAAAACAAGTTACAAAGTGCTTTAACAAGTGTAAAGAATAATACAAAAAGAGAAGAGCATGAAAATTTAATATAAAATTAGTAAAATAAAATAAAAGGGATAAAATAAAGTCAAATAAGATCGGGAAAGGCTCTCCTATAAAAGTATGTTTTAAGAAGGGACTTAAACGAGTTCACTGACTCAGCCGACCTGATTACCTTGGGCAGGCTGTTCCAGAGCCTCGGGGCCCCGACAGCAAACGCTCTGTCCCCTTTAGTTTTCAGTCGAGACTCTGGAACAGACAACAGACCTCTGCCCGAGGATCTCAAGGTACGTGCTGGTGCGTATGGGACTAAAAGGTCAGAAATATAACAAGGCGAGAGGCCATGAAGAGCTTTAAAAGTGATCAATAGAATTTTAAAGTCAATTCTAAAACATACTGGGAGCCAGTGTAATGAAGCTAAAATAGGAGTAATGTGGTCATATTTCTTTGTTCTGGTTAAAAGCCTGGCAGCTGAGTTCTGGACAGTCTGGAGTCGATCAATAGATTTTTGGGTTAAACAGGTGAAAAGGCTGTTGCAATAATCCAGGCGTGATGAGATGAAGGCGTGTAAAATGGTCTTGGTGTCCTTAAAAGTTAACATAGATCGAATTTTAGCTATATTTCTAAGTTGATAAAAACATGATTGAACAAGCTTTGTGGTGTGCTGCTCGAAATTTAAATTACTATCAAACCAAACACCAAGGTTCTTTGCCACAGGCTTAATGTGATTTACTAGGGAACCAGCAGATGGCAGTATTTGATTTGCCATCTGCTGGGACCCGATGACCAGGATTTCTGTTTTGTCTGAGTAAGGTCTAGAGCTGCTCTATGTGACAAGTGGAATGAGATAACTTCTGATGTGAATTGGAGCTTTCTAAATAAAACTGAGCCGAGTTATTCAGTCATACACAAGCAAGGTACAGAAAACTTACACACTTTGGATCTGTAACTATGTCTTTTTACTTGATGAATGAACTACAGCTGCTGAGATTTAATTGCTTTCCCCCCCGTTTCATTTTGTAATTTTTGGCGGATGGTGTATCATTTCCCCTGCTCAGCAAGGCTCTTATGACCGATGTTGTGTACTAGAGATTTGTGAAGGCACTGAGTAGGTAGTATGTCAGGTCGTACCGGTTCTTGTCAGCCTAATGTCGGCATGGCGCTAGGAATGCGAGCAACACCCTCCTTACAGCTCAAGCTGTTTTATTATGCTAATATTGTGATTCACATCCCCATCCCCAGAACACTTCCCTCACTTAGCTCTCGATCACAATTTTTTTTTTTTTTTTTATGAGCGCTCAAATTTCTCTAAAGCCATAATTCGTCTAATTATAAAAGGTTTTAATTTAACAGACTTGTTACTGGACTAAAAAAGGGAGAATGGGCACCTCAAGGTTTGATTTTTGATTGTAAGTGAAAAAACATGTTTGATTTTTACACACACACACACACACACACACACACACACACACACACACAAATCTACACACATTGTATAGGCATCAACCACATCAGTACAAATACATACGGCTTACATCCAGGTATGCAGGTCAGTACAGTACTAGTCCATACAGAGGATCTGTTCAGACTTTGATATGAAATGCATCTTTACCAATCTGATTAGGGACACACACACACACACACACAAACAGAGTACCTCATTAGGAGAAATCAAAATTATGTAATTAAAGTAGTGTAATCCTATCATGCATTGGCCTTGTGCTTGCAGTCTATAGCACACACAATGTTATATCTGAACCAAAGGAGGAGAGGCGGAAGTCAGCAAAGATGAAGTAGTTCAGCTGTGTAGTGAGGTGACAGACACTGATACAGTTTACCTGCATAGCTGTGAGCTGGGACTCCAGAGTTTAGAGAACAGGAATTTGTTGAACATGCTTGTTAAAATGCATTACCTGTACTAAGCACCGACATATTTCTAATTATCTAACTCAGGTAAGTGTGTGCCATTACAAACCAGTGAACATTTGGTCTACATTCTTAGGCCACTGTGAAAGCTGCATTTAAGTGCCTCTGTTCACACGCTCAAGAGACATCTCTCTGGAGGAAATTATTCACAACTGCATTCGCTCTTTATACGCGTGTTCAGGAGGAAAGCAGACGGACAGGTTCAGCAAACTACCTACCGCCGAGTTATTAAACTTTACTGTCGCTCATGTGTAAACATGAGGAAACAGTGTCCTATCATTTGTAAGCCCAGAATTTCCGCATTAAAACTGAAACGTGCTGCGGTCAGGTGCAGGATTGCGACGTGAAACGTAGACGGGGTCTACTTTGTGGGTCACATTGTATCTCGGCGTTAAGTGGACGCGGGTGAATGGAAATTGCACCTTCAATCAATCTAGCCTTTTTGTCCCCCATCATTGAGCCCCAGTAACTGAAACATACGCTCCTGTTAGTCCCAAAAGCTCGCTGTTAATGATTAGCCCCAGATTGATTGATTGATTGTACTCATGCACTCTCAAATGGGACAGATAAACCGTGTTTCCATACACTAATTAATTCAATAATGTTAGCTAACGCTGGTGTCCATGTAAACAATATTTAAACTCGCCGTGTGGCGGCTCTGCAGTGACATATAACAGAGCTAACAGAGCTAGCTAAACGCAGCAGCAGCTACAACATACATGATGCTGCTGATGCACATGTTAACGTCAGTAGGTGTATGTGACGCTTATGTCATTTACTAGCTTTAAAAGTGGGGGACAACGTGTGTCTCCAAAAATAAAAACATTGCAGAAAAGTTACCTTCGTTGTGCTGTCTTCTTTTTCCCTTTCTCTTTCCAGTGGAGCGTGCAGCGACACATGTGCCGTGTTTCCGACTTGTGAGACAAACTTCGGCTAGTCAGTCCGCAAGCAGAGTCAACATCTGCAGCTAGCTCCTCCTCATTAGCAGCATCACCGTCGACCGCCAAAAGGACAGTTGCTCCACCCACTGACAGGTCACATTAACCACATTAACCAGCGGGTCAGCACAGTGATCCTGCACAAACTAGAGCAGTGATGCGGTCACACAGGCGTCTTGGCTGTACCTGATCTGCTAATTTTCTGTATTTAAAATCATTATTGTAGAGGTGCATTTTTATTAAATCGTTTTTATTCTTTGCTTTTATTTTATTTTCACTAGTTAAATTGCGCTTTATTTTATTCTGGTTCTTGGTTGTCTTTTGTAAAGCTGGTTTTGGAAGATACTCTACCAGAAACGTAGCCTACACTTTTCTTGAGGGAAACTTTATCTTATTCTTGAATATGAACAATGAGTCCCCTCCAAAAGTATTGGAATGGTAAGGCAAATTCCTTTGTTTTTGTTGTTCACTGAAGACATTTGGGTTAAAGATCAAAAGATGAGTATGAGACAAGAGTTCAGAATTTCAGCTCTCATTTCGTGGTATTCACATCTAGATGTGTTAAACAACTCAGGACATACCACCCTTTGTTTGAACCCACCCATTTTTCAAGTGAGCAAAACTATTACTAACTAACATGTGATGTTCTTGTTGCCCAGGTGTTGCCTTTTAGGTTGATTGTCCAAACATTAAATTGCTCTGCATGACTAGTCTAAGTTTTCATCCTTGGTTCAAACCTATAAAGACTGCATTTCCTGTTAAAGAGGATAAACCAACATGAAGACCAGAGAGCTGTCTATGGGAGAAAAGCAAGCCATTGTCAAGCTGAGAAAAGGAGGAAAATCAACCAGAGCCATTGGATCAAACATTGGGCACAGCAAGCACAACCATTTGGAATGTCCTGAAAAAGAAAGAAACTACTGGTTTACTGAGCAACAGACGTCGAACAGGTCGGCCAAGGAAAACAACAGTAGTCGATGACAGAAATATAGTGAGAGCTGTGAAGAAAACCCCCAAAATATCAGTAAGTGACATCGACAACGACCTCCACAGTGCAGGGGTGAAGGTCTCACAATCCACTGTTGGAAGAAGACTCAGAGAGCAGAAATAAGAAATATAGAGGCCACACCACAAGATGCAAACCACTCATCAGCAGGAAGAATCAGAAGGCCAGGTTAAAATTTGCAAAGAAGTACAGAGATGAGCCACAAAAGTTCTGGAGCACAATCTTATGGATTGATTGATGAGACCAAGATTAATCTCTAGCAAAGTGATGGAAAGGCCAAAGTGTGGAGAAAGAAAGGAACTGCTTATGATCCGAGGCATACAAGCTCATCTGTGAAGCATGGTGGAGGTAAAGTCATGGCTTAGGCGTGCATGGCTGCTTCTGGAACAGGCTCATTAATATTTATTGATGATGTAACTGATGATGGTAGCAGCAGAATGAATTCAGAAGTCTACAGAAACATTTGTCTGTCAATTTACGGAGAAATGCATTGAAACTAATCGGGAGGAAGTTTATCATGCAGCAGGACAATGACCCAAAGCACACTGCCAACAAAACAAAGGACTTCATCAGGGTGGAAAAGTGGAAGGTTTTAGACAGGCCAAGTCAATCACCTGACCTTAACCCAATAGAAAATGCATTTCAACTCCTTAAGAGGAGACTGAAGGGAGAAACACCCTGAAACAAACAAGAACTGAAAGAAGCTGTGGTAAAAGCCTGGAATAGCATCACAAATGAAGAATGCAACAGGTTGGTTGATGTCGATGGGTCGCAGACTTGAGGCAGTTATTGCAAGCAAGGGTTATGCACTAAATATTAAATGTTATTTACTTTAAGGTTATTTGTTCCTTTACTTTTGCTCACCTAAGAATACTGTGGTCTAATCCAAAGGGTGGTATGTCCTAAGTTGTTTGACACATCTAGATGTGAATACCAGGAAATAAAAGCTGAATTTCCGAACTCTTGTCTCATACTCATCTTTTGATCTTAAACCCAAATGTCTTCAGTGAACAACAAAAACAAAGGAATTTGCCATACCATTCCATGGTTGTTGGTGCCAGAAGGGCCGGTCTGAGTATTTCACAATCTGCTCAGTTACTGGGATTTTCACGCACAACCATTTCTAGGGTTTACAAAGAATGGTGTGAAAAGGGAAAAACATCCAGTATGCGGCAGTCCTGTGGGCGAAAATGCCTTGTTGATGCTAGAGGTCAGAGGAGAATGGGCCGACTGATTCAAGCTGATAGAAGAGCAACTTTGACTGAAATAACCACTCATTACAACAATTTGCAAGAGCTCACCAAAATTGGACAGTTGAAAACTGGAAAAATGTTGCCTGATCTGATGAGTCTTGATTTCTGTTGAGACATTCAGATGGTAGAGTCAGAATTTGGCGTAAACAGAATGAGAACATGGATCCATCATGCCTTGTTACCACTGTGCAGGCTGGTGGTGGTGGTGTAATGGTGTGGGGGATTTTTTCTTGGCACACTTTAGGCCCCTTAGTGCCAATTGGGCATCGTTTAAATGCCACGGCCTACCTGAGCATTGTTTCTGACCATGTCCATCCCTTTATGGCCACCATGTACCCATCCTCTGATGGCTACTTCCAGTGCAGTGTAATGCACCATGTCACAAAGCTCGAATCATTTCAAATTGGTTTCTTGAACGTGACAATGAGTTCACTGTACTAAAATGGCCCCCACAGTCACCAGATCTCAACCCAATAGAGCATCTTTGGGATGTGGTGGAACGGGAGCTTCGTGCCCTGGATGTGCATCCCACAAATCTCCATCAACTGCAAGATGCTATCCTATCAATATGGGCCAACATTTCTAAAGAATGCTTTCAGCACCTTGTTGAATCAATGCCACGTAGAATTAAGGCAGTTCTGAAGGCGAAAGGGGGTCAAACACAGTATTAGTATGGTGTTCCTAATAATCCTTTAGGTGAGTGTATATATAGTATGTGTGTGTGTGTGTGTGTGTGTGTATGTATGTATATGTGTGTGTGTGTATGTATGTATATGTGTGTGTATGTATGTATATGTGTGTGTATGTATGTATATATGTGTGTGTGTATATATATATATGTGTGTGTGTGTATATATGTGTGTGTATATATGTATATATATATATGTATATGTGTGTGTGTATATATGTATATATATATATATGTATATGTGTGTGTGTATATATATGTGTATATATATGTGTGTATATATATGTGTATATATATGTGTATATATATATGTGTATATATATATATATATATATATATATATATATATATATGAGACAGAGAGATTTTACAAACATAAAGTGGTGGATACATACCCCCCACCTTTATCTACACAGTTAAAATATTTATTAAGATTACATTTATAGTTTATAGATTTATTAATCAATATGTTCTCAAAAAATATGAGCCTTTGTGTATTTTTACTGTATCTAGACTAACTTACTTGTTCTTTAATGATGTTCTTAGCATAACTACAGATCACAAACCACAACTAAAACCCTGTTCTGGTTAATCAGTGACCAATTATAACGTCATACGCTACTCCTATTGATTCGTTTAAAATAAACAGTAGCAACCTTACGGCTTTGTTATCTATGCAAGGACATGCTTTCTGATAAGGAGCATGTCGTTTGAGTAGATATGGGCCTGCATAGTGTTGCCTATACACAGTCTAAGAGTTGGACATCATGCATAGATTCAGTTGTTAATAAAACTAGTGCAAACAGGCAGGTAACCTGCGAATTAAACACGTCTTGCTGGAGCTCGGCAGCAATATACATGTAAAGTAGTTTACTTTAAGTCATACGTTCCTCAAGCTCAAATAACTTGAGATTTGCTGCCACCTAGTGACAGGTGTTTTAATGATTCCACACATTTATTTGGTAGCATCAGACCGTCTGGGTTTTCTGCAGTTACAAAGAGGTGATACAGGTAATTCAGTTGGCTGTGTGCATGGATAAGTTCTATAGGCTTATAATGCGCTTTAGGCGTTGAGTGTCAACAAATAGATTGCATGAAGATTTGGCAACTACTTGTAGCCTAATTCTGCTTCAGCCTTATTCTCCCGGAATGGCATCTCATTGCATGGTTATGCTTGCAAGGAACTACCTCAAACCTAAAATATTATGAACATGTTTAAAATAAAGTATGCTGAATCTAAATGTTATCCTCCCAAGAGCCTTTCTTCCACTTTCAGCACCATGAACATAGAGCGTGGATGTGCTGTAACTGCTCATCACCTCTGAAACAAAGAGGGACCCACCCACAATCTTGAGGGCCTGAACTCTCCCATGTTAGGGGACATTGGATTTGTCAGGCCTTTGGTTGGGAGAGGCGCGTCAAGAGAGTATGGTAGCTAATATGCTCCAGGAGGGACAAGCACGCTCATTACTGACCAAGTGTCAAGCCAATCAGATTATAAGGTTTAGACTTCCCATCATGTATTTCAAAATAAAGCCTTTTAAAACATGGTGCATCATAATTTTTGGGTGTGTTGTGGGGGCTGGCACAATTTCTTGGATGGCTTTATCATGTACCAAACATGTACGAAATACCACAAAATAACAAAAACTGAGATACAAATGAGATGGGTAGTCTGGAGAAAACCTTCTTAACTCAACATAACCCAACATCACCAAGAAATGTTATGTCTCCTTCTGGTGGAATGCGGTGACCTTAACTTAAGGTTTTATTTTTTACCATGTCCTTAGGCCTACCAGAGCAACATATCAGGGCTGCAACTTACGATTATTTATAATCAATTTATTACATGAAACTGTCTCAAGTATGTCTTCACACTGGGACATGTTCGTGTCTTTTATTCTGAAGGCTGCGTCTGCAGACTTCCGGTTTTGTTCTAGTTATTTGCCTCGGATTTGACGCAGTTCATAACAGACCACCAGGCGCACCTGCAGTCCCAGTCTCTGCTGACTCAGTGCCTTACCAGCAGTCCCTTCACCCCGAGATACAGCATCCTGCAACCGACGCACTCCTCCAGTCAACCCGCCCCGGCATCACCGTACA